GCAATGGTTCGGATTTCTTCGCGATGCGATCTCCACTTCGGATTTGAAGCTCGGAAAATGTACGCACGCACGTATCCTAGCGTTCGAGGAAAACCCAGAAAGATTTCTGGTCAACAATCTCATTTCAATGTACTCAAAGTGTGGATCACTCAATTATGCTCGCCGAGTGTTCGATAAAATGCCTGAAAGAGATCTTGTTTCCTGGAACTCGATTTTAGCTGCTTATGCTCAGTCTTCCGAGGGTGTTGTCGAGAATATTATAGAAGGTTTTCTTCTTTTCCGGATTTTACGACAGCAGATTGTGTTTACCAGTCGAATGACTTTGGCTCCACTGTTGAAACTCTGTTTGCATTCTGGATATGTTTGGGCTTCAGAGTCAGTTCATGGGTATGCTTGCAAGATAGGTTTGGATAATGATGAATTTGTTGCCGGAGCTCTTGTTAATATCTATTTGAAGTTTTGTAAGGTTAAGGAAGGTAAGGTTTTGTTCGAAGAGATGCCTTATAGAGATGTTGTGTTATGGAACTTGATGTTGAAGGCTTATCTGGAAATGAGTTTTAAGGAAGAAGCACTTGGTCTCTCTTCTGCATTTCATAGAAGTGGCTTACATCCCAATGAAATTACATTGCGTTTACTCGGTAGAATTTCTGGTGATGATTCTGAAGGTGGACAAGTGAAATCCTTTGCAAATGGTAATGTTGCTTCTGCTGCTTCAGGAATAATATCCAAGAACAAAAGATTGACTGACTATCTCCGTGTAGGCCGGTACTCAGCTCTTCTCCAAGGTTTCGCGGATATGGTCGAGTCCAACTTGGAATGTGATCAAGTCACATTTATTTTAGTGTTATCTACAGCTGTTAGATTAGATAGTTTAGCATTAGGGCAGCAAGTTCATTGTATGGTATTGAAGTTAGGACTTGATTTGATGCTCACTGTTGCGAATAGTCTGATAAACATGTACTGTAAACTCAGAAAAATCGGTTTAGCTAGGACAGTATTTCACAATATGACTGAACGAGATTTGATTTCGTGGAATTCGGTTATCGACGGATATGTTCAGAGTGGCTTAAACGTGGAAGCAGTGTGTCTGTTTATGGAGCTGTTACGTTGCGGCCTTGCTCCAGACCAGTATACTATGACGAGTGTTCTAAAGGCAGCTTCTTCTCTTCCTGAAGGCTTGTCGTTGAATAAACAAGTTCATGTTCACGCAATTAAATTCAATAATGTTTCTGACAGTTATGTGTCTACTGCTCTGATTGATGCCTACTCTCGGAACAGGTGTATGGAAGAGGCAGAGGTTTTGTTTGAAAGGAACAATTTCGACCTCGTGGCTTGGAATGCCATGATGTCTGGTTATACCCAAAGTAATGACGGTCATAAGACTCTGAAGCTCTTCGCTTTGATGCATAAACAGGGAGAGAGATCCGATGATTTTACGCTCGCAACAGTGCTCAAGGCATGTGGTCACTTGTTTGCAATAAATCAAGGAAAGCAAGTCCATGCTTATGCAATCAAATCTGGATATGACTTAGATCTATGGGTCAGCAGTGGAATTTTGGATCTGTATGTAAAATGTGGCGATATGAGTGCAGCACAGTTTGCTTTTGATAGTATTCCCGTGCCTGATGATGTTGCCTGGACGACTATGATATCAGGATGCATAGAAAATGGAGAAGAAGAGCGAGCTTTTCATGTTTATAGCCAGATGAGGCTCAAGGGAGTGTTGCCTGATGAATTTACAATAGCCACACTTGCGAAAGCAAGCTCTTGTTTGACGGCGTTAGAACAGGGCCGCCAAATTCATGCAAATGCTCTCAAGTTGAATTGTACGGGTGACTCGTTTGTTGGAACTTCACTTGTGGACATGTATGCTAAATGCGGAAGCATAGACGATGCTTATTCTTTGTTTAAAAGGATGGAAATGAGGAACATTGCTGCCTGGAATGCCATGTTAGTGGGATTAGCTCAACACGGGGAAGGGAAAGAAGCGCTCCAGCTTTTCAAACAGATGAAATCTTTGGGTATAAAACCTGACAAGGTCACATTTATCGGCGTTCTCTCTGCTTGCAGTCACTCAGGCTTGGTATCTGAGGCATACAAGCATATTCGTTCAATGCATCGAGACTATGGCATTAAACCTGAAATAGAACACTACTCTTGTTTGGCTGATGCCCTTGGCCGTGCTGGACTTGTTCAAGAGGCTGAAAATTTGATCGGGTCAATGTCCATGGAAGCTTCAGCATCGATGTACAGAACTCTTCTTGCAGCTTGCAGAGCTCAAGGGGATACAGAAACAGGGAAGAGAGTGGCAACTAAGCTTTTGGAGCTAGAGCCATTGGATTCATCAGCTTATGTGCTTTTATCCAACATGTATGCTGCTGCTTCCAAATGGGATGAGATGAAACTTGCCCGGACAATGATGAAAGGCCAGAAAGTGAAAAAAGACCCGGGTTTCAGTTGGATCGAGGTTAAAAACAAGATTCATCTATTTGTCGTGGACGATAGGTCAAACCCGCAAACCGAATTGATTTACATGAAAGTAAAGGAAATGATAAGAGACATCAAACAAGAAGGGTATGTTCCTGAGACAGATTTCACACTTGTAGACGTGGAAGAAGAAGAGAAAGAGCGCGCGCTATATTACCACAGCGAGAAGCTAGCAGTTGCTTTCGGGCTTATGAGCACTCCTCCATCCACACCAATCCGTGTGATTAAGAATCTACGCGTTTGTGGAGATTGCCACAACGCGATGAAGTACATAGCTAAGGTGTATGGTAGAGAGATTGTACTAAGAGATGCAAACCGATTTCACCGGTTCAAGGACGGTAAATGCTCATGTGGTGATTATTGGTAACTGAATTTGGAAAGAAGATAAGTTTTGCGTACCAGAAGCATCTTGTTATATATAACCAATATGTCAATACATTGAAAATCAAGTTCCATTGCATATCCTGAGAAAGAATACAAACAAACTTACAAATCATCTAATGATAAGAAAAGCTAAATTTCAAACTGTTGCCTCAATCCGAGGCTGGAACGAAAGAGCGGAAACGAAATCCATAGCTTCTCCATCGTTGAAGCATCTCGGCAATTCGCTCCACTCTTCTGTAACCAAATCAAACACAAAGTACCTATAATACACCTCAGGAGGATTCGCATTGAAGCACACAAGTATCTTATTTCCAGCTCCTCCAACGCAGTTTATGTCGCCATTTCTCCCGTATAACTCATGAGACATTGCAGGAGGCAACATTCCGACATGAACCCAATCCCGGTTCTTCTCAAGTCTCCATATTCTCAAGCTAGCACTTTCGTAAAACTCAGAGAGAAGAATCACAAACATGGTTCCATTACATTCCACCAAGTCAATGGAATACTCCAGGAACGGAGGAAGAAGCTTAGGAAGCTCCGTGAAGCATCTTTTAGTGAGATCACAAGCTACAATTGTGCCATAAGAGCTGAGAAAATAGACGGTTTCGACACCGTCTTTAACTGTAATAACCGAAGAGAATTGCTTCGATGGACTTCTCTGGAGATTGTTACTCGCCACTACAACATTTCCTGTCTTGCTAAGAAAGTAGACAGTACCAATGTCAGT